TTCAGCTTCAACTTCCAATTCTTCGAATCATTCTTTGAACAACTCTGCCCACTCGGCAGCCACTTCTCAGCAATCACAGTCGTCACAGCAGCACCAACACCAACAGCAGCAGCAGCATCAACAACAACAGCAACAGCAGCAGCAATCACAGGCAGCAGGAGGCACCAAGGGAAACACTCCTCCGCCAATTACTGGTCGTTGGATACCACCATCGTTGCGTCCGCAGCATGGACTTACGCAGAGCGAGAAGAACGATGCCGTGTTCCGGCGCGTAAGGGGAATACTGAACAAGCTAACGCCCGAGAAATTCCAGGAGCTGAGCGATGAACTGCTGCAACTTGACCTCAATTCGATTGTCATTTTGAATGGTGTAATCTTGCTGATCTTTGACAAGGCATTGGATGAGCCCAAGTACTCGTCTATGTACGCACAGCTGTGCAAGCGCCTGTCCGAGGAAGCACCATCGTTTGATAAGGAACCAAACAACTCTTGCACTTTCCTGCGACTCCTGATCGCCGTCTGTCGCGACAAGTTTAACAATCGTCTGAAGCGTGACGAGAACGACAACAGCAGACCGCCGCCAGAAAATGAGGCCGACGAGGAGGAACGCCGCCACCTGGCGAAGCAGCGCATGCTCGGCAACGTTAAATTTATTGGGGAGCTCAACAAGCTCGACATGCTGTCGAAGACCGTGCTGCATCAGTGCATCATGGAGCTACTGGACAAGAAGAAGAAGCGTACGGCCGGTGCGCAGGAAATGTGCGAGGACATGGAATGCCTGGCTCAGTTGCTCAAGACTTGCGGCAAGAATCTGGATTCAGAACAGGGCAAAGAGCTGATGAATCAGTACTTCGAGACGTTGGAACGTCGATCAAAGTCAACTGAATATCCACCAAGGATACGCTTCATGCTAAAGGATGTCATCGAGCTGCGACTGAACCATTGGATTCCACGCAAGGTTGGCACCGCCGAGGGACCCGTCCCCATAAAGCAAATACGCTCGGACGACGACTCTATCATACGCACCCCCTTCCCCAATCGCAATCGCGATATGCGCAACAACGATCGCGATTCCGACAGCTGGATGAACCGATTCCACTTGAATATTCAGCCTGGCTATAATGATATGTTCAGCGGGCTAAGTGTCACCGGATCCTCTCCCATTGTGTCCCCGTAAGTAGAAAAATTCCGACTTCCAGCATTCCAGCTATTTTCGATGGATGCTAATAAATGCTCTCTTCCAGATTCGCCACCAGCTCGAATCGGGACCGAGATCGCGATAATCGCCAGTACAACAATCGCGGCGACCGCAATCGCGACCAGAACGGAGGCGGCGGCGGCGGAAACTACAACAATCGCTACAACAAGCACAACCAGAACGGTGGAGGAAATGGCGGAGGAGGGTCATCTGGTAACCGGGACCGAGACCGGGATGATTCGCGCAGGAACAACGACCGGGACAGGGACCGCAACGACGGACAATATGGCGGTAATCAGCTGCTGGGCAGCAAGGAGCTAGCGCCGCGTTTCAAGCGCAATTTGATCACCACGAACCAGGATGCGGTGGAAAACTTGCAAATGCGCCCGGCGGCCAACTCCTTGCTTTTCCGAGCGGCCAACCAAAACCAGAAGTTCCCAGCCACGTTGCCCATGTCGACGCCACCCAACAGCAGCCAGGGCAAGGACCAGGGACCGCTATCCAATTCCCACTATCCATTGCTGGGTACTCCCACATCCCATCTGATTAATCCCACACGTCCATCGTCCACCCCGTCTGCGGAATACGCGGATAACAAGACACTCCACGGAGTTCAGCAAGAGAAGACCCTTAAGGCGACCTCATCGTCGCCCAACTTCAGTTCGGGTGGCTCGCGGGAGAAATTAGATGAGCAGAGCGCAGACGCCCAATCCTCAAAGTCTTCGAACGACGGCAAAGAACAGCAACAACCGAAGAGTGGTTCCGTGGAGAGACCTAGCACACCATCAGGCAATGGCTCGGCCAAGCAACAGAAGAAGGATAAGTATACCAGCAAGGAGGAACAGGGCAAGAAAGCCACCCTCTACTTCAAGGAGAAGTTCTTCTACGACGAGGAGCCAAAGGATGAGGAGACAGAGGTCGAAGCTCCAGCGCCAGCTGCAGAGCAGGAAGGGGAAACACCAATACCCTCCCTCAAATCTGACCGATTCACTGAGCTAGTTGAGGGATTCCTCGAGCTGAAACTGCCCGAGAAGTCCCTGAAGGATGTGTGCATGAACTTGCTGATGGATGTGTTAGACCGTGTGAATGATGTCTACTTGGAGCGCGTCGTGCGCTTCTTGCAGACATTACGCAAACTGTCGAGCATCAAGCCGAACATTGTGGTGGAGGTCTTCAAGCAGTTGGTCAACAAGATGAACGAGCGCGAAGCTCTCAATCCGAGGATCACGGCCCTCGTGGCGAGTGTCCTGAGCAAGGCCGTATGCGAGCCAGCTCTGCTGAAGCTGAACGACATCGCCAACTACACGGACAATGGGCAGCACTTCCCGCTTTTCCTCTTGGTGCTGCAGCAGCTGCATAAGAGCATTGGCAAGGAGGCCTTGGAGGAGAAGTTCCGAGCAAGTAAAATTGACCTGATGAACAGTCTGCCAGAGGTTGATCGTAACAAGGAGAGACTGGCCGAAATACTCGAGGATCGCAATCTTTCCTTCCTTTATCCGTTGTTGAAAGTGCAGGCCGAGATGATGAAGCAGTTGCTGGTCGATCCCAGTCCGACCAACTTCTACAAGTGGATCAAATCGAATGTGGACAACAAGTACTACAAGGACCCCGGCTTTATTCAGTCCCTCATGACCGTAGTGGTGAAGTATATAACCAAGGAGACGACACTGGCCCCCAATCTGGATCCAAAGGAAGCTCCGGAGAAGTCCGTTACCCAGAAGGAGCAGCAACTGCTGGAGAACTATAGTCAGATGCTGCAGACCTTCCTTGGGCAAAACGAACTGCAACTGATCGCGTTGTATGCCTTGCAGGCGTTCTGCTTTAACGAGAATTTCCCCAAAGGTAAGTCGATGAAGAACTGACTACTTTCATTCCCATTTTCTCCAAGAGTTGCCCCTTAACCATTTGCTTTGTCCGCTTTAGGCATGCTGTGCCGTTGGTTCAAATATCTGTACGAGTCTGAAATCATCGAGGAGGAAGCATTCGTCTCTTGGAAGGAGGAGATTTCCGACAAATATCCAGGCAAAGGATCCGCTCTGTTCCAAGTGAACGCCTGGCTGACTTGGCTACAAGAAGCCGAGTCCGAGGACGATGAGGATTAAGAAGCACCGCCCCGTATAACAATAACTCTATTGTATATCACATTAATTTATATTCACAAATTGATTACATGAAAAAAAGATCAAAGAAAACGCCCCAACAAAAAAAAAGAAACAAAACAAAACAAAAGATAAATTCAGCAAGATGAAAATGAAAGCTTGGAATCGCGGTTGCAAATCTTAGTCAAATTATAGTAGAAGAACCCACAAGTTAATCAAAATTATTTGATATTCCAAAAATGCAAACAATTAACAACTTAGTATCAACAAATAAAACGAAATAGACGCAAACGTATAGAATATTATTCCACGAAATATAAACGCAAACGAAAGTAGTAGATTTTAATTGACATTTCAAGTCACGAACGCATATATACAATACATTTTTAATTTACAATTAGTAAATCTTGACTCAACCGGAACTGAGAACTGATCTATCGAATAATATATTCCCCCTTTTTTTGTTATCTCTATTCAATTGCCACTCGCACATCTCTACGTTTTTGTATCCACCTTAAGTAGTTCAAATCAAACAACGCTAAAAATATAAAAATCAGTAGATATGTGCAGTAGATGCGAAACTATAAAATCTGATTGTAATTGTGAACAAAATATCGTACATATGTATTTTAACCTAACAAAAAAAATCTATAAAAATCTGCCGACATTAATAAGAGCTCTAATAAAAATGCAACCGACACTGCGAACGGCAAAACTTTGTCTTTTTCATCATTTAAATTAAATTTAAACTGGACTGGGCATTTGGCGCCAATGTGACTGCAAAGCTATGACGCCTATCGGATGGTTCAACTGTCAGCTTTGAAATGCTTTCCAGCACTCCGAAATGTGTGTGGTATTTTTTAAATTCATCAATAATTCATAGACAAAGGGTAATAAAAATTCCATACGCAGGTTTTACATGACTCTACATGTCTACATGATATTATAGAATTGCGGCTCTAATTAATGCAGAAACTAGTCAGTCCCTGTTTTAAAGGTATTTCAACGATATTTTGCAATGAGTGTCGGATTCAGGATATACAGGAAACTAATCAAATGCATGAATACGTCGAAAGCATATCAATTTGAGAAAATTTCTGTATTAATTACGTTTTAAAAACAGTTTGGAAAACAGTATCCCTAAATTAAATTAACGAAATAGGGTATACAAATGCCCATACTCCGGTTGATAAGCAACAAGTCTTCAATAACCAGCAACGTTGACGTGATAACATTGCGACTTTTTTTTGTTGAACTTTTTTGTATAGTCAAAATAAAGTAAATGGAAGTACTTAAAATATCTACTTAAAATACAACTATGTAGCATTATTCAACGGAATATCATTTAAACGTTTACTCTCTTATGTTTTTTTTTTGTTAGACATTTTTCGCCAAAACCTTTTTGTAGTCAAAATCCAATAAAAGCAAGTATTTAAATTAAATCAGTCAAGCAGAAAATAGGTTTATTAACTCGATAAAATTATCTGGGCTAGGCTGAGAGATCTATCGAGCTAGTAATACTCGACGGAATATCAAAAACGAGGAATATGTATAGTAGAATTTGAATTCTTCAGTATTTTACGGTATATTTTTTAAATGAGTCGGCATATTTTTTTATATTTCTGACGGTCGGACGGTATATTTTAGTGGCCAAAATGTGCATTTCATTCTGTTTACCTTTTTTAAAGTGACATTTTTATTATAAATTGATTTTAAACATAGCCAAACACAGAAAGTTTGAGTTGGAGCAATGGAGAATCTTAATATTTCGGACCCAGCAGCAGCCGGAGATGCCGGTCATGTCCAGCTGAATGGTCATAAGCAGGACGCCGGTGAAAATGCATTGTTCACCTCACACATGGCCGTATTGGAGAATGGGACTGCACAGTTTATACTGCGGGCCCTCAAGATGAATGGCAGCACAATGCTGATTGTCAATTCAAAGGAAAATGAGGTATTCGATGAGCTGGCTGTGGGCATGCCCGCACGCGACTCCACCAAAAGCGATGCACTTTCCTCGACCCTTATGGGCGGATACGGCCAAACTGAGTCATCTGTTCTGGCCGCCAAGCTGAGCAAGCGCTACGGCCGCCAGTTCTTCGTGAGCTTAAACATTGGAGGAGATCGTCTGGTGACTCCGTTGTTCGAAAAATCGCTCGTCACCTACATGCAGAGCCATCTGGATCATTTCGTATAGGCCTGTATCTGTATGTATGGCTGTGATTAAAATTAAACTGCAGCAATATTTATTTATGGTTCATAGGCATAGCCGGCAACTGATGACACTGCGCCGTGTGGGGGTCACAGGCGTTGGGTGCGTTTATTTTGGTGATTGCTGGCGACCCCACGGACGCCGCTCTCTCGCCGAACCGAACTCCATTCTCCGCTCAGACGACGACAACAACACAGCCCGCGCGACATGCGTCGATCGAGTGAGCGCGAACTTTAAAAGTACAACGGAATTATTTAGTCTAATAAATTTATTACCCCAAAAAGTAAGTTTACATTCGTTCATTCTGCCTGTGGGCCACTCTGCAATCAATTGTGCCGTGATAGTGTTTCTGTGTAAGGCCGAGCTCACACGCTGTGGCTGTGCGCGGTCGCATGCCGTACTCATGATCAGGTCTGTTCACGGTTGAATCTCGTTGCCGCCGTGCAAAGTCAAGGCCAGTTCGTCTGCACAGTTTATGTTGATTGCCAAGTGATTCAGCAGTCCTATATTGTCCATTTTACTATTCTTGTTAGTGGCTGTGGCTAGTGACCTGTCCAACAAAGGCATAGATTTGGTTGGATAGCTACATAAGCTATCATCCACTCTCAACGAAAAGTTTAAGTTTCACTTCCTGCCTGACTGTCAGAAATCGACGTCGTGTGATAAGCCCTGGTGGCTAAATTACCCCCTTCAAGAATTCCTACCACAAAATATATAAAAATAAAAGACCCCAGCGGCTTTGCGTAGTAGTTGTTGGATCCATTCCTGCCATGCACATTGGGACAGGCAGCCGAAATTTTTGGCATAAATTCGAAAAATTAGCTTAGAGACCAGAAACTAGGTACATTTGATTGTATCTTTATGTATGAGAACTGAGATAAATTTCAGACCGATCCGACCACGCCCACCCCTACCGCCCGTACGTTATATGTACAATTTTCCATCGTTTTTCTCCGTATTGAGTTAAACTGCAGCGACTAAAATATAGATCTCACAAATATCGAGCAGCATTTCTTAGAAAAATTCTGGACAATTTACAAAATGCAGATACGATACCAGTAGTAGTAGCAGTTAATATAATGTGCATTAGTTAATATATACTTTTTCATTTATACATTCTTCATACTCCGGCCTTTTCCTACTAACAAAAACTTGAGAAAGTTTCCCGCTTTTTTAACTCCTGCCGATCGTAGAAGATCGAACATCTGACTTTGAAAGGCGGCAAATCTTTTAGCGCTAAGATCAAAAATATAAATGCAAAGTTTCTAGCTAGGGTATGCATTAGGATAACGTTTCCATTAAAAAGTTTTGACTTTTTAAAATTGTGCCAGAATATCGACCGTCTGGCCCAATGTGCTATGGTGGGGTGTACTACAAATACAAATGTATGTGTTATTAAAACTTTTCCGTTAAACTTCAACAATTGGGGACTTCATAAGGCCCAGTCTAGACGAGATATTGTCAGCCGTATCAGCGGCAGAAACAATAGCATATCGCACCTAAATAGCAACACCAATTGTATATATAAATAGCGCCACTGCCGGAAGGTCTGGCGGCTGGCTATGGGCTCCCACGAATGTCTGGAATGCTTTTTTCTAACTTTTTCGCCATATCAGACTGTCTGGTGATGTTGTTGGTCGATAAGGTATATAAATAATAGATCAGAATCGCCTATACTTGTATTTCCATGCTCCTGCTGCATGCAAACTTCCCCCATTCGGAGTTGGATGAGTCTGGAGGGCTGGAGTCCCGGGCAGCTGGCTGGATCATGGACTTTGGAAGTCTGTCGTTGTCAGCAACAAAGCAATTAGCCATCTATTGGACTCTGCAGTAACCATATCAGCTCACAGTGGGTCCACCGCTGCCAGCGTCGCCAGCACCGCCACCGTCGCGACAAGATAATGGCAGTCAACAATGTCCACATGACTTGGAGCATTGGAGCGGCTGTCTTCGCACGCCTCGGGACGTGCATCTTCAAGATAAACCCGACTTGAGCACACGCCCCAGCGTCTCGATTGGAATCTTAGAACCAATCCCCGGCTCGTTCCGATCTCGTTGTATGGAGCTTATCGGCACCCGAAATCACCTTTGCCAGCCCTCCAGACCCCATCCCGTTCGTTATCAGTCGAGTGTTGTTAATTTGATAGAAATATTGACCATCATCCCGTTGCCCGGAATCGCAACCAGATCGAACTGGATCCAGTCCCGCATCCCGGCTTTGAGTGTCTGGCTGCCCCTCCCCGATCCCCCCACCCATTCGTTCTGGCGGTCCGATTTTGTTTTTATTTACGTTCAGATTCGGACCACGGAAAATTAACAGGCGCACCACACACGCTCCTGCAATCGCTCCCCAACCGAAATTCGCCAACGTGTGTGTGCTTTTTTTTTGTTCCTTTTACTACAAAAGCGGCAGTCTTATCAGCCCCGCCCCTAGTCGATGGACTCTAGGTGGGTCCTCGGGGGGGGTGAGTGGTGTGTGTGCATACTATGTACCTACTACATATGTGCCGGGGGGAGGTGGAGGGAAGGGGAGGACTGGGCGACCTACGACTGGAACAACTGCTCGTCGAACGTTCCTTATCATCCGCCGCTCGCGCCATACAAAGTTCAGAATCGAAGTCAGAAAATCCGGATTTTTGTTTTGTCACCGCCGGGCCGCTTCCATTCTGATGATACTTGGACGATTATATGACCGTCAAACGCATGCCAAACATAAAATTAGGTTGCGCCTGGGGTCCTTCATCGGCTGCTGTCTTTGGCAAGCGAATAGATTATACACAGACATCCGAGCCCCAAGGCCGAGCCAAGCTCTGAACTAGTCTCATTGCGCGCAACTGTACTTAAATCATACTTTCTCCGCGAGCCAGCAGCAGAAGCAGTCCGTGGGCTGATGCCACTATCTATTTATAAATCATGATCCCCTCGAATCGCCCCCCCCATTTGGGTTTGATTTTCGATCGAGCGCAGAGTATAGGAGTGGCAATGAGTACACCTGTTGCTGAATTAGCGGTCGTTACATTGCTGATAGTGGCAAGGGCTTATCGTGTAGTTTATGTAATGCAGAGACCCCACTCGTTGGCCCGTGCAGGCCTTGGGATGCGGACGTTAGCTGTAAGGTAGAGCGAAGGTTGCCCGTGATTCACTAACTCGCCAGACAGCTCCTGATAGCGTGATAAGAGAACCTGCACCCAGCAGAGCGTCGGTATCGCTCGGCCCGTCGGCACCCCTGCCTGCATACACGTTTTGGCCTTAAGAATAGACGCAGACGATTCCCGTTTGCCACGAGCGGAGCGTCGTTCCATTCACGTCATGGCGCAGAAGCTTGGCCGATTCCGATTCCGCCAGTGGCGGAAGATATGGAACGGCATGTGGCGGCACTTGCTGACTCGCCGTGAGATAACCGTGCGACGCGACGGTGACTGCGCCAGCTTTATCAAAGCGTAGCAGAGTGGTGCACACACATGTATTACACACACGGACACAGCTGGCACCTGGACTCGTGATGGGGGGTGCGGGGTGGGAGGATGGTGTGGGTTGGGGCTGCTGGCAGGCTGACGGGGAACTCGCTTTCGGGTACGAAGTGCAACTCAGACAGACGAGCCGAGTAGAGTCGGGGCGATAACGCTTGCCCCCCAAAGAGCTTGGGCCTCATTGCGGGCTGATCATCGGGCACACACATGTAGCCCACCAGACCCGTCGCTGGGTTTCCACTTGTGCGTTGATAAGCGGACCGAACCCCAGAGCTCCTCCCCTCTCATGCGTCCTCCAGACCAATCAGAACTGTTGGACACGACGCTACACTCACGTAGTGTGTGCCTTTGCCCCAGATCCACTTGCCTCAATGGATTTTTGCCGACATGTCCCCACGCACAACGCACCTGCCCCGCAGCCCGGCGCGGCGCGGAGCTGTTTTGGTTCCGATTGCCACCGCCACCCCCCGGGCCAGCCCACCCCTGGCCCGTCTGCAGCCTTCGGCTGATAAGAGCCTCCGTCTGGGTGCCCTTATCGGGAGCCAAGTTTCGAATATTACACGAATGTCTGCAGGCGAGCGCCTCATTCGTTTGGGAAACGCGTTAGCGAGCGCCTCGCCACCAGCAAGCCACATAGCAAGAAAAACCCGAGAAACGAATAGCTATCCCCTACTAGAGCTAATCAGACATCAGAATGGATATAGTAGTACAAAAGTCGATCTTCAACAGCGGCCGAATCGGGGAGATATACGAGCCGCCCGCTGGCTATTACACACCGTACAACACTCCGCCGTACATAGCGCCGTATTCGGACCACGGCAGCTTGCTAGCGGAACAGCAGATGCAGCAGCACATCAGATTCCCCACTCCGCCCGTCACACCGCCACGTCCTGCTCCTGGCCTCTTGGACTTCCACGCCGAGGATCAGTATCATCATACACAGCGCACATACTCCGTCATCATGAAAGTGCACAGCCAAGGCGACCTGTGCCGCAGTCCCGTGGAGTTCCAGGACGAGAGCAAGTCCTGCAGCAGCAGCAGCGAGTGTGGAGCCGGCAGCGACTTCATTTGCAACTGGCTGGAGTGTGAAAGGTGAGCATTTATCTATTGCTGTTGATCTGTTTTCATGGACTAACGCTGGATTGTCGCTTCTCGAAATTTCCAGGGTATTCGAAACACTGGAAGCTCTGGCCCAACACGTCACGCAGAGGCATGCCATTGCCTCCCTGACAGACGGCCTCTACTACTGCCGCTGGGCGGGATGCCAGCGCAGCGAGCGGGGGTTCAACGCCCGCTACAAAATGCTCGTCCACACGCGCACCCACACCAAGGAGAAGCCACACAGTTGTCATCTATGCGAGAAGTCGTTTTCGAGGGCGGAAAACCTAAAGATTCACATACGATCGCATTCGGGAGAGAAGCCATACAAGTGCAGCTTCGAGGGCTGCCAGAAGGCCTACTCCAACTCCTCCGATCGGTTCAAACACACAAGGACACACTCGATGGAGGTAAGTCACGCACAGTCCGCAAGGCATCGAGGAAATATACTAACGGCCGTCTTCTTTTCCGCCCCAGAAACCCTATATGTGCAAGGTGGCTGGCTGCCAGAAGCGCTACACAGATCCCTCTTCGCTCCGCAAGCACGTGAAGACCTTCAAGCACAGCATCCACCTTATTGCTAGTCAGCCCCTGAGCCTGCCCCTTCAGACCCGCGCCCCCTACCTGTTCGAGGCCAGTGAGGCCCCGGCACCCTACACATGTCTGCCCGCGGGCAGCGTTGAGTCCTCCTCTTCCTCCACTCGCTACTACCTGGATGTGTCCAGCAATGAGCCCAGCGACTACTCGCTGAAGCACAAGCCAGAGACGGAGTATTCCACCAGCTATTGGCTGAACGAGAGACAACACACGTATCTGCAGAGCGAGGATTACTACATGAGTATGGAGGTGGACTCCCCGCTCGATCTGCGCATGCACCGAATTTAATTTCCAATCAACTGACGCTGATTGGACCTGTCTCTCTTCCTACCCTCTAGTCACTGCGCTATCCTAGCTCTTGTCATTAATCGTAGACTACCGCTTAACTGCAAAATAAAGACTGTTGTATTTGAAAATCTACTCATACCATTCGAAACGATGGAGATACATTACGTAAAGAGTTGGTCAGTAATTCCTTGCAGCACAGATGACGACTTAATGTATAAGAAAGCGTAACGCGTACGGCGAAGAACCATTTTTGGTTTTATTTATTATTTTAACACATTTTCTTAGTCTTTTCGATCTATTATATTTTTTAATTGAGATGAATGCTGATCGTCTGACTCTTACTTTCCGATCTGGTCCTGTTTGCCCGAGATATCGCTTGCCTTTCCGAAGAATCGGTCTTCGAAAAGCTCTATATAATGGTGGATTATCTGAAGCGATCTCTGGTGTGGGGTGTGGCATGCCTTTTTATTCAATGCCAATCGAATTTGAAATTATGTATTGCGCAACTAGCCGTCGATGTGTTTCACAACTGTTAATAATAGATTTAATCTTCTTTCATCTTATAGGAATGTTAGTTTATCTAGATAACCGCCCGTTTCTTATACAAACAACAAGAACAAACTAAATATATAGCAAAAGTATTTCCAAATTTCAAATAGATAAATACACTTTGAAAGCGGTATCTGTGGTAGGGGTGTGTATACATATACATACGTATATACTATATAGTATACTATATACTTGCAACGTACTAAATCGTAAAGAATAAAAACAAATTTCTGCTTGCACTTGCATCAATGTACAATCAAAGGAAACAAAAATTCCTCCCGCCTGGCTTTGGTTTAGGCCTGGACCCGGGCTTGGCGTACATCTCTGGACGATGCACTTTGACCTGCAAAGGTGGGGGGCGGCCCCCAGGCCCCATCTCAACTAACAACAATACCAGTAACCTTATTGAAATCAAAATTATGCCCTAAAGAATCTTACAACTCGTACAATATATTGTCGGCAAATGGGGCATTCGTTCAGCACTTTGCCACATTTCGTGCACGTGGCCATGTGCCCGCACTCCAGGAATACGCACTCAATGGGCGCATCCATGCAAATCTTACAAAGCTCATCCGTAGCCAGTTTTTCCACAGCTGCAACGGGCCGTAGATACATGTTAGAAGAGTTACGCCAGGTTTAGCAGGCAAAGAGTACTCTCACCTGGTGTCGAGCGCATTGTCTTCCAGAGCCTGCTCACTCGATCGAGCAGTTCCTGTTTCTCACAACAGCCTTTGTAGTCGACTCGATGCAACATGAGGACTTCCTTCAATTGTTTCACCGTCAGACTCTCCAAATCATTTCTGTGGAGCAAGCGAAGAACATTAGTATATTTCGTTTACCCCATTTACATAGAGCATGTAGCATCTACACATACAAATCTTCAAAATCCTGCAAATTAACAAATCGCGAATCAATGCAGGCCGCCGGCTCATAGTCCGAAGGCGCTGCATACACATGAATGCCCTCGTCATCGTCCCAGTGAATATCATCATCCTGCGTTGGCGAGAACTCAATTGTGGGCGTAATTGGCATAGCCGAAGATCTCCCCCCAGCGGCCACGCTGACGGCCTCTCCACTCAGAGGAGATACAGCGTAGCTGCCTGCCTCAGAGCCGTCTACAGACTTTGTGCGTTGTTCCAGGTACGTGAGAAAGTACTGCAGCTCTCTCTTGATATCCTCCTCAGACATTTGCGAGTTCTCCAGATGCCGCCGCATCTTCTCCACTTGCCGACGAATATTTGTCTTGTTCTTTCCACATCGCTGACAGCTTTGCCGCTGCGAGTAAGTGGCTGGCTCGGGCTGTTCACTCAAGGTGGAGAGACCCAAAGTAAGCCCTCGTCCCCCAGATGCCACGGGCGATTCATCGTCGCTGGAATGATGAGTACGACTCAAGTAGCCATCGGAACGACGTCGGGTGACTTTCTTAGAGCGTTGCGGCACAGCGGGACAATGGTTTTGGGCAACAGAGCGCTGCTCAATGTTGAGGGTCTCTGTGGTGTCCGCCCCTTCGTCTCCGTCTCGGGATGGTCGGCTGCGTAGAGTCACTTCTAGAATTTCCTCCGTGTGGCTAGTACTTGGCGTGTCAGCTGCTGGGTCGATCCTGTTCACCTCCAGCACTTGCCACTGGTCGAGGTTGCTGCTGTTGGTGTCTGTGGTGGTCTTGCTCTCGTCGGATATGCCCCCTATAGCGCCTAGCTCCTCGAAACTCGACTGTGAGGAAACATCAGCCCCGCAGGCATCCTTGCCAGTATCCTCCAGTATATGCGAGTAGCCTGGACTCGTGTTAGTGGTTCTGTTTATTGCTGTGGATGGACCCGGACCCAATCCAGCTGAGCTTGGCTCTGGCGCTGGATTGGCTTGCCCACCCGTAACGCGTTCACTGAACGAGGCCATAATTTCATCATCAAAACACTCGCACTCGGATCGGTTGTCATGGACTTTTTCAATCGTTTGCTCGCTGTGATTACCACGGTCTCGGCTGTTTTGTGGAGTGGGCTCAGCATCGCGGCTACTCGATGGCTGTGTGGAAGTCGACGGACTATTGCTGCTACGGCTGCTGCCGTTCGTAGTGGCATGAACATGAACCCGTTCGGGCCCACTAGAGCCGTTCACGGCACTGGCATATGTGGGAATCTCCCGCGTGGACACTCGTGGCTGCTCAAATATGTGCGAGGGTGCTTCAGTGCCCCCGCCGGCTTGACGGCCATTTTCCGGCGGCTTTGAACTTGCCTTTGTATCGAACGAAGCAAAGGAATCACTTAAGTTGTCGGTTAGATTAGTAAAGAAATTTTGGCACGATTGTTTGATGCTATCAATGGGGTTGGCCTGTCCTCGTCCAGGACTGTGAGGAGCATTGCTAGCACGTCCCGTGTCCACTTGGGCCACATGCGCCAGCACCAGACCGACAAGTTCCTCTTTCTCTGCAAAGGGCGTCTGTGTAAACTTTGAATCTGGTGAAATTGCCTCTGTTCTGACTCACCCAAACAGCCATCAGTGGAAATATGCTTAGACTGCAAGTAAAATATAAGATCCTTCGGTTTAAGCTTCAGCAAGTCGGTCCGCAGCAGCGGTCGTTGAGCAAATATCGCACATCGCTGGCAGCGCCTGGCATCTATGCAGTTGGCGCAATAAAAGCGCCTGTGGTTGGGATAAATCAAATGAAAACAATTAATCTCGTACACAAAACACCTAAATATTTACGTATGTATGCATTGTATTTATGTATGCAATGCATTTTGGTCTGAACAGATGTAATTATGTACCTACATATTTACTTACTTGCAATCAAAGCAGGCGCGCTTCCGACGAAATACGGTGAACTCTACTCCACAACTCTCGCAGGGCATAATTGGGTGTGTAGTTTATGAGCGTATGTACTAGTCCAATCGACCATTTACTTTATCCTTGCCCTTCCTTCTCACTCCCACTGTGTTGGCATTGCATTTGTTTTTCAATGTCAACTCTCTGAATCACTGGATAATCGAGCCTTTTTGCGCCCTTATCATATCTCCGTCGATTGCAATAGCTTTTGGACGCAGAAAGTCCGCCAAACACTTACTCATTAGTAACCAATAAAGCTTGCAATGATTTTTATAAATTTTATCAGGCAAAGCAATACATATATACATATACATAAATATGTACATAAATATATGCCAGGCAGTGTGACCGATCAAATACAACTTATCGATAAAATATATCGACCCTCAGAAATATACTGAAATATAACGTCTCATTTTCAAAATATACCGTAAATATACCGATGAAAAAACGAACAGGATAATAACAACTTGATAACAAAGCTCGATAAAGAATACTAATAATGTAAACTTTTAATAGCACGGTTTTATTATATGTTCTTCTTTCTTGATCGTCGTATTCGAATGAATGTGTGTTGGCACTTGTCCTCGACAAATATCGATATATCGAGTACATTGGTATTTCTTATAATACTATCGATGAGTAAATCTTAAACTAATATTCAAATCTTATAAACTAATATTCATATCTTACAATAATAATAATAATTACTCTTGTTTATCTTTGTATAAAAAACGACCACGATATCTTTCACCTAAATTGTGCCAATGCATTGGAATAAATGATGCAGGGAAGCACGATTCGAGGAGAAAAATTTACAAAAACCTGCGTTTGAATGTGAACCTACCTTTAAAACTTAGGACGTAGTCGGTTTTCCATAGCTAAAACAAAAGAAATTGAACTCGTTTCGTATTTAGCTGTTTTTATTTAATTCACATCCACTACTTAAATTTAAGTATTTAATTATATGCATTTAAATAGTTAAGTGCCATAAAATGTTTCAAACTTGTTTAAAATAATACATTTTTAAATTGCTAAATATTATACGGTTTGCCTTCAAGTCATTTAGTTATATACACATGGTTTCCGATGATTGAGCTTTTCCGAAATTCTTCTTGATAAGTCTTTAATTATATAAACAAATGCCATTGCCCGTTGCACTTGCTACTGCTACGAGCACAGAGAAAGGTTTGCAAGCTATTCTATTTTAACTGCCGAGTGATGAGTGTTGTGTTGGAATCCTTAAGCAGCGCCAGCACCGCAACGTTTGTCTAAAGTTGCCCAACACCACAGGTGTGGTGTGGTTTGCGTGTTTTGTGGAAACATAGGCAACCGAAAGAGAGAGCAAATGAACTTTGAATTTGAAAATGTACAGTTCTTTTTATGTTGTTATATTGGCGAGTTGAACGCTGCCTTGCACTCAAGACAGATACTACGAAACGTGATCCAGATCTCCAGCCTTGACGTGGCTCTGAAGGAGATCATCATTGTTGTTATCATCGTCATGAATACCTGACAATTCCAGCGCAAGATTCTTTTCATATTCCACAAAGTCGTCGAAGAGACTGGGCCACGCTTCGGTGTCATCGTAATTGTTTATATCACATTGTTCCGTAAAGTTGAGGTACATGTTCCATGTATCCTTCGGTATGCGGCGTATATTCGGGTGCTTTTCGAGGAAGTTTATCCAGTTAGAAAAGAGATCAGGTGATTGTACAGTGAACACTAGTTTCCACAAATCTATTGCCATCTCCAGGGAGAGGACACGCTGATCGGGTTCAAGGCCAAAGCTGAAATCAAGCAAATAGCAAGAGATTATCGGGCATATATAAATATACAAAATATTAGCAGTATAGTAAATTACCGAAAGGTGAAACGATATAGCTGCTTGAACATCTCGGAATCCGCCTTAAGCATCTCAATTGTTTGCTCCAGCCGCAGGCGAATGTTAGCTATTGTGTCCGCACGCATCTTGTGCAGGCCATCAATAAATTCCGTCTTGGTGAACCGGCACATCTGAGAGGCATCCAGGCACCAGGCCAATACAAGTATTGCGAACTCATCGGGCTGATAGTTCAGATCATTGCACAAACGTTCGATGCCATCAGTGAGTATCATGTCCTCATCGTCCGGGTCTTTGTACACATCGAACAGTTTGATTAGATTTTGGTGTGAAACCTCCATGGATTCCTTGACAGCTGTGCGAACGATACATAATTAAAACGAATTCAAATAGAAATATCTCCCTTTTGGCAGACAAAATGACTCACCAGTTGTTATGATATCGCTCATCGTGGGTGCACTTCCATTAAGCAAACCTAAAGACTTAAAACTATTACGCTTAGTATCACAATTGTTTGCTTTTACTGGCTTGAGTGGAGTTCGGCTAGAGAGCAATTCGTCTGTTTCTGGAATGTAATGAACAAGAGAATTTTGACTTAAAAGTGAAGGGCGATTTTATTTGAATGTACATACCGCGTGGCCGGTCGTTGTATATGGCACAGCGCTCATTTGCATTGGGATTGGGGCCGACCGATTCGCAGCAGTTGGCGAGGCTGGTGGTTTGGCAGGCGTTCGAGTGCGATGCGTTAGGAGATGAGGACGTTGGCAACGATTGTTCGGCAGAAGACTGGAAGCATTTCAGGCAATTGCCCATAGTGCGGGCGGTTTGGTGTCCTCCGCGACTTGCCCTGGCCCTGCACTTCGCATATGCTCCCCCAGCACTGGCTAAATGGCTGACACTTGTTTCTCACGGCGTCTGGAGCTGCGGATCGGATCCTATGGCTACTGGCTATCGGCTTAACATTGGCACTGCGAGTTCGCCCAATGACGCTCTGACGCATCGAACATATGGTGAGACTTCTTTGTTGCTCCGGCTGTGGCTACGGGTATGGATATTGCTTTGCTGTTCTGCTGTTGTTATTTTGGTGGTGCCTCCTACGCAAACGCACTACTGCGTGTGTCTGTGTATACATACATATATTGACACACGTCGTGCATATACATCCAGCTGCAGTAATCACTACCACAAAAATACTCGATTTGAGTACTTTTCACATCTTACTTTGTTTCATTTTTTCCCGCACTCAACCATTAGTTTGGTGTGGCACATATCTCAGGGGTCGACTTTTTTAAGATTTTATTTATTTATTTTTTTTTTTTGAGGTTGAATAGCAAATGAGTGTGACCGCGGATTTATCGTTAAAATATATCGTACGACCATCAGAAATATACCAAAATATACCGTCTTACTTTAAAAATATACCGTAAATATACTGACAAATTCAAGTTCTTTTTACATATTCCTCGTTTTTGATATTCCGTTGAATATTACTAGCTATATAGAATATTTAGCCGTGCCCACATAATTTTAGCCCATTGATGAATCAATTTTCTACACAATTGGTTAGTTTTTAATCCTTGCTTTTATTGTGATTTGGCTAAAACAAGTTTTGAACAAAATAGTTCAACAAAAAATCAGTCGCAATGTTGCTGGTATTTAAAGACATGATGCGTGTATAGGCCTTTGTACACCCTATTTTGTTAATTTTATATGAAGATCAAACGTAATTTATTAAGACCTTTTCTCAAATTGATATTCTTTAGACATATTCGAGTACATTATTAGTATCTTGTATATATTTATCTCGATCCTGATACCTACTGAGCCTTGGAAGACAAACATTTTCTCAATTCTATAACATCCATTTCCCCCAGGGTATGTGTGCATGGAATTAGCAACATTCGATTCAAAAAACGACCAATTCCTCATATTCTTTGTTCCGTTGAATAATACTATCTATATGGAACATTTAGCCATGCCCACTCAATTTTGTACGATTGATGAATCAATTCTATACATGATTGGCCTATTCGAAATACTTGCATTTATTGGATTTCTATATAACATTGAAAATGAAATTAATAATTGACAAAAATACCATTTAGCACTAAAAAACACCACATGGGAGCTCGGCGAAAACCAGTTTATACAGTATGACCCACCGAAATACAAAAGATACCGAGAGGTGCGCGCCAAATCTAACTTTTTTGAATGTGAGCGACAATTATTTAAATGTTGTCAACCGGTCCTTTATCTATGCCCACATAATTTTATACGATTGATGAATAAATTTTCTACAAGTTTGGATAGTTTTTAATCCTTGCTTTTATTGTATTTATTGTAAAAAAAGGTTTAAACGAAAAAGTTCAACAAAAAACGATCGCTATGTTGCGTGTAAGCCGTATATAGGCCTTTGTATACCCTATTTTAAAATATCGTTGAAATATTGTAAATAATTTTAAATAATATTGAATAATATTAAAATATATGGAAAATAAATTGTTTTTGCCTGGGATGACAAACATATTCACAATTCTATAACATCCATTTCCCCCAGGGTATGTGTGCATGGAATGGGACTCATTGTTGTCAACCGGTTATGACGACTAATTCTTGGTTATTCTTTCTTCCTTCGAATATTCCCAGCTATATAGACCTCTCAGTTTTACCCAGATAATTTAATATGATTGCTTTAAACAGGATTAACTACTTTTAAGTACATGCATGTTTTTTGTTTTTACAAAAACACGGCTTTAACAAAAATGTTTAATAGTCGCATGTTGTGACGTCTATGTTGCTGGTTTTTGCGGACTCATTACTTGTCAACCAGAGTGTGGTCATTTGTATACCCTATTTCGTGAATATTATATAAAGATACTGTTTTCCAACCTGCTTTCAAACGTAATTAGTAAAGACCTTGTATTAGATTGCATTTTTTTGGCGTATTCATGCATTTGATTAGTTTCTTGTATATAAATCCTGATCCCTTTACCAATTCTTGGTAAGAAGACAACTAATTGCAAAATATCGTTGTTTAATCCACCCATCAAATAAATTCCCAGAACCAAATGATACAAAATGCTCCTTCCAGGGACTAGGAGATCCAGTTCAAGCCAAGCGCCTAATGTTGATTTAGGGGAAATTGTATGTATGTATATGTTAACAAAATTCACACTATCTAACTGAATTATATTATGAATGTATGTATATTTATAATAGGCATAATTTCACATATTGTTTTTTGTTTTCTGTTTTTATAAGCTTACTGTAGACAAAGGTGTATTTAAAGTTATTACGCTTTGGATCAGAGAAGTCAACAACTATACAGCCAAGCGCAGTGGGAATATCAATTGAATACAATAAATTATAGATGGGTTTCAGCAAAACGTTCTGGACTATCACATAGAATAACACTAAAGGTAAGAGCTAAAGCTATTTACAGAGAATACACTTGTAGGATAGTAATAAATAGTTGTACCTAAAATCGCAACATAATATCCAACGGAAAATGCACAAACGAGGGAAACACAATGGATAGTGAGATAGGAGAATACGTTGTGCATCATGTTGTCCCTATAGATTAAAGAACGATTCGAAACGAACTCGTGAACAGCCAAGTTTTAGATTGCATTATAATGAGCAACATTTCATGTGTTTCGAACAGCGATTTTTCCAAAAAAGCGTTCATTCACCGCCGCTTTCAATCGCTGTTGCTAATCAGCGATTCCTGCTGCTCATCGTCATTGACTCTGTAAGAAGAAATCCAGTTTAGTTGGCTACTTTTGAGAAACTGATCGGAGGACTCACCTAACAATGCTCGGCTTATGGCAACGACAGAGTTTTCTATATACAATTTTGAACAGTTTCGTAAGTGGATCAGCATCATCGTTACGCATCAGCAGCGCAACAAGTGTCAGAGCCAGAAATATGGGTATCGAACCGATATAGAACATGTGAGAATACGGCTTATGCTTCAGCAGAACATCAAATACAATGGCCAAGGGAATCTGCAACGACATGGCCAATGTGCCAATCAGCGAGGAGGTGAGAAAGCAGCCCCAAAGCCATAATGCCTCCGCGAGCACGGTTCCTATTAGTCCGTTTAGAAACAGCAGCGCGAATTGCCCCTGATCAGGCACTTCAAATGTTTCGATCTTGGTGAAATGCAAAATGAAGAAAATCGGCCACAAAAGCATGAGATTCCAGAGGCCAACGAACCCTTCAAGAAAGATATCAGTTAAGCAGGAGATAACAGAGTTCATTTGATTGCCGTGGCTTACCGAAAAACAAAGGTATATCGACCTTTTCCTCAGTATCACTTTTTCGTTTGACAAACACCAGGTACGACGCGTAAAAGAAGGCGCTGAACAGGGCCAAGAGGACACCCCTTGTCATCTTTGTGTCGTGCAGATCGTTCATTGTTATGGCCACAACTCCTGCAATGTTCATGCCGACAGCAATCAGCTTGGTGATGGTCAACTTGTCACCTGTTGCCGAGGGGAAAACGGCCGCCAGACAGATGATAAAGAATGACGACGTAGAGCTGACAAGTGTTATCATGGCAGTCTCATCCATTTCCAGGGCCAGCTGAAAGAAGTAGTTTGCCACAAACCAAAGCAGACAGAAAAGCAAGGCCGTCTTGGCTGTCTTGTGATGGGTCTTCTGCCGCCTGATGCGCAAGCTGGCCGCATAGGATAGACGTGCCAATAATGCATCGGTGGCCTCATGGGCGGACATTTCCCGGACCTCTGCCATTTTGCTGAAGCGAACACTGCGCACGCTGGAATCGTCGCTCTCAGTGCCGGACAGGGTGTTACCGCTGCCATTGACTGTTGAGGCCAGGTGTGCGGATCTGATCGGCACATAGGTAGGATCTCCCTGCGGAAGGCGACAGATTTATTTATATTTTTTTTTATAAGTTTAGCTTGTATTAGGCTCACCAAAACAGCCTGATTGGAGTAGTAGTTCTCATCATCGACATTCTGCTCCATCATCTGTAGGAAACAGAATTTAGTAGAGAAATAAACAAATTAATATGACTATTTACTGCATAAGTTCCATTTTGGCGCTCGCACGACTCTTTCCATGGCGCCAAAATTCCTATAACAAGCAGGTAGATACTGAACATTGACGTTTTGAAATATGTGCAGAAGAAGGGCTTGTCGAACTTGGCCTCATTGTACAGAAACTGCGAAATAAAAGAATTAGAATCAATTAGGTTTCTCTGTCCATTTATCTGTAGATCTGTCCGGGTGGGGTACCTTGGTGAGCTCACTGGAGGAAACCCATACGACATCGACTAGTATTAGTATTGCTATGCCCAGTATAAGCTTCTGTGTGCGTCCCAGCATGATTTCTATATATGACTTATCTTTTCGAGGGCTTTGCAAACGAATGTTGCTGTTTGTCGGCTTATATTTCGTATCCAATTGGTTATCTAAATGCAAATAACTATTTACGCTTGTGCCGCCAGCTTTTCAGTGTCATTTTGCGACGCTTTCTGGCTGCTGTTATCCTCGATTCAAAATTATCAAATCTGGTTCGCTCCAGGCGTCTCTATATTTAGGCTTCAATGTAGATAGTCGATGCGGTCATTGCAGCTGAAATGGAAATGGGCGGGAGGTTAATGGCAGGCTCAAAGGAATTGCATTTATTGATTTTGTCCGCGCTGGTGGGTGTGGCTGTTCGAGGCGTGAATTAAATGGTAACACATTTGAGCAATCAATCAACGCAAAGGAGGAGCAATTCGATTAACAGGCCAATCACTCAATTAGCGTCTGAATTATAATGCCGAGCTAATTGGTTTGTTATTCAAATTAATAGGTATAATATAAATAAATTGGGATAGATAAGTCATGAATAGAGTAGAGATTTTGTTGTAGTACTCGAAGTCAGATCTCAATTGGCTTCAATTGTTTTGGCAGTAAATTATAGAGTATGGTAACAGAGGGGCGGCAACGGAATGGACCCCCCTGGCTGATAACAATTTCGCACACACGAAAAAACAAAATCAATAAATGGTCGAAGCGAACGTCTTCGATATGGCAGAACAGCAACGCAACAAGTTTTTTCCATTGTTCGTTCAATTGATATTATATATAACTTGTCACCCAGTTTCAGATGTGGTTACGCTTGGTTAATTTATGCAGTTGCAGTTCTTTCCATTTACCATCTATTCAGTCAGTTAAGCCTTGCTGTTCTTTTTGCCTGCTACGGCGATTGCATTGATTGTTTATGTCCAAATGTAGCTGGTTGTTTGGCTCACTTGTTTGGCGGCTTTGTTAGGCGGTATTCTAAATTTTTTTTATTT